ATGCGCGGCCATAGATCAGAAAACAACAACAATGCAAGCGCAATTGTTTACCTGCATTTTAACCAGCCTAATCATTCAATCCTTACTATGCAATTCGCATGATCGAAAAAATATACCACAGGACTAACATCTGCAACACCTCTCCGTAGACAAAAAAAAAGAAGACTACTGCATTCAACAATTGGGAACTGCGACACCATATGGTTGCGATGACAAAATTGATGGTAAAGGTATTCTATAATCTTGTCCTTCCTGTAGCTCGGTGAATGTGATGAACATTTTCAACTCTACTCCTCGACGTAGACACAGTCATGGTCATCGTCATTATACATCACCTACTCTCCATGATGTCTCTATTAATGACCTGCTGCCATTTATACAAAAGCCGTTAGGTATTCATCGAATTCGCACAAAGCTTTATTCATTACCCCTTCAAAACTTCATTCTATGTACAACTTGTGTTTGGAAACATCTGTTACAAACCCTCATTCAAACAATACAAACTTACAGCTTCATTTCGGATATTGCAAGTCACAGACTTTTCAAACCAGTTCGCATTGGAAAAGGTGAAAAGGAAAAAAGATCCTTTCTTAAACTTTCCTTTGCCAGCAAAAGTATCGATGCCATCAACTTGGGTAATATCCTTCATCATAAATCAGTTCACTCGAAAATACCGCCCTATTTTAAAGATCAGTCTGTACCTATCATTTCTTATACCTATACCAAACCAATTGCAACTAAAATTTTCAATTACAAACACGTGTTGCAGGATCTCTATATTGACGACTTCAAGTCTAAACCTCTTGATTACACCTGTGCTTGTTCCCCATTCATATATAATCCGGCTGGTCACGTTATTCCTGGTGGCCTAAACATTGTCAATAACACTTCTCTGCGAAATGTGTTATCCAAAGCCCCGAAATATCGTGAGTCTAAATCCATCAATTGGAAACACAACTTCAAAATACTGATGGATTCAGTCGAGGATTATGCCAGGCAATGTGTTAAACGCGAGAAAGAAGACGTAGATACTCTTTCTGAATGGATTAAGACTGTGAGGTCGTTGATACAAATCATAATTAAGAAACTGAATGGGTTTATGAACACCCATTATACATCAATCTTTAAACACCCAAATGTTGCAAAACACTTGTCATACCTCAATGACAAATATGTTGTTGTCCCCGCAGATAAAACCCCAAACAACATCGTTTTTAAGTGTAAATCATATTACATAATCTGCTTGATAAATGAATTAGGTATTGACAATTCACTTGGAAACTCAACATATACCCCCACGACACTTACTAAAGAGGAAATCCTGGATAATCATAGGTCTGTTCTATGTTCCTTTGGAATTTCAACCGAAGTTGAAGAACTGGATCTTCCATCAATGTATTGGATACCTAAACTACATAAGTTTCCGTACAAACAACGTTATATTGCTTGGTCTTCCAAGTGCTCCACGAAACCTCTTTCTAAATTACTAACATCAATTTTATCAGCAATCAAAGCCGGGGTTCAAAGTTATTGTGAAACTACCTATTCTAGAGGTGGCGTGAATCAGATGTGGATACTAAAAAATTCGAAAGATCTTTTAGAGTAAATACAATCTAAGACTCTTTCATCTTCCAATAGCATTAAAACATTTGACTTTTCTACACTTTACACAAGTATTCCCCATTCCAAACTAAAAGACAAATTGAAAGAGTCGGTCCTGCTTTGTTTCATAAAAAAGAAAGGCCAACTTAGATACAAGTATCTTGTCTTAGGGAGGGATAAATCCTACTTTGTAAAAAATCACTCTGATTTAAACCAAACAGTCCCTGAAACTGACATTATCAAGATGCTTGATTTCTTGATGACAACATTTTTGTTACGTTTGGAGGACGTGTTTTTCAACAAACATTCGGCATTCCCATGGGAACCAAGTGTGCCCCATCTTCTTTCTGACTTGTTCCTTTATTCATATGAGGCTGACTTCATACAGAAACTTCTTAGGAAAAAAAGAAAAGAAGTTAGCAGTATCCTTGAACTTTACTTTCCGCTATATAGATGATGTTCTCTCACCAAATAATTCAAAATTTGGTGACTATGTTGAACGCATCTATCCCATCGAACTTGAGATAAAGGATACAACAGATACAGTTAAGTATTCCTCATATCTTGACTTTCATCTAGAAATTGACAATGAGGGTCGGTTGATAACAAAACTTTACGACAAAAGAGATTATTTCAGCTTCCCAATGGTGAACTTTGTATTTCTATGTAGAACATCTAGCAGCGCCTGCATACGGAGTATATATCTCCCAGTTGATGTGATATTCAAGGGCTTGTAATCCTATCATGATTTCCTTTCAAAGAGGGTTGCTGCTCACAAGGAAGCTATGAAACCAAGAGTTCTAAGTGGTGAAGTTGAAATCATCTCTTCGTAAATTTTAGGGACGCCATCACCAAATGGTTGACCGTTACGGAATATCCGTTTCACAGATGATAGCGGATATGTTCTATGTTCCAAATGTCGTAACAACAATCATGTCCCTTTTTCCCCGAATGTGACTTACCGAATAAGACTTATTACCGGGTTTGTACAAACATGAGCAACACGACGGGTGCCACATTTGGAACAGGATCTGCTTACCCTTCCGGAGCACCTGAGATCACCCCCAGTTTTTGGTGGGGTTCGTGTTGCGCAGTCTTTAGTTTTCTATGTTGTGTTTTGTGTACAATTGTTTGTCTGTTGGTCTTTTTCTTTTCTAGCCATGGCGTTGTCAGTTTATTTTCGACTTATGATTTTGAATGTCCCTTTGGTATCTTTCGCCTCTCTCTCTTTAATGTCGGATGCGGTGTCCTAACGATGATCACGATTTGACGAAGTTCATCAACATATATATGTCATACACAGGTGTAGCCCGTTTTCACTGTCCCTGGAACTCTTTCAGTTTAGGGTAAATGTTTTTTCTTGCTTTTCACAATTTGTGAGGTACTGTCAAGAAATGGAAAATTCAGCATATTTTTCTGTTTTGATGCAGAATTCTTGAGTTTCGTAGTTGCTAAAGTTAGTAAATCTGGCGATTAAGTTGCGATGTTAATCGCCTTTTCTGGCACAAAAACGATGAAATGCAGTCTACAGTATTTTGAATATTAAGTTCGATTTTCAGAAAAAGTTACACCACTTCGATTTTTTTCTGTATCTCAATATTCCTCATTCATTTCATTGAATTGTATTTCACTGAATGGGACTGGATAGTTAGCACATTTTCCTTGAGTTTAATATTTTCTTTTTTCTGAACCATACCTACCTCACCTATCTTGTATTTGCCACCTCTATCAGATGAACCACTGGCACTGTTGTCTTTTGTCAATGTATCCTCGAACACATTGATAACGGTGCACTTATAAAATCAGTTAGATAAAAATATTGAACAAATACTCTGTACACTGTACATACCCCACCAACATTATATCTACAAAATTACTGTTACCATTTCTGATGGGACTACAACTTAAATGTCATCACATATGTATCTTGTCCATATCACATATTACTGTTTACTACTTCACTTAAGGATCATATAATTGATGCACGCTTTTGGTGCAAGCTAAAACATAGTCCAGCGCTAATCTTCTCAATTTGTACATGTTGTTGAGTTGACAAGAAATGAAAGGCAAAAACTCCTAATGGGTCAGGCAATGGTTTTGGTCATTTTGGCATTTTTGTAAATGTTGTCTTGTTGATTATTTTGCTGCTTCATAACACGTTCTACCTATCAATCAAACTTTTCGAGATAACTGGCACAAAACACAGAATTTGTCAAAAATCGTCATTTAATGATTTAGGGAGGAATAAATCGTACTTTGTAAAAAATCACTCTGATATCAAACAAAACATTCTCTGAAACTGACATTATCAAGATGTTGGATTTCTTGCCGACTTATTTCTTTATTCATATGAGGCGTACTTCATACAGGAGCATCTTATAAAGAATGAAAAGAAGCTAGCACTATCCTACAACTTCACTTTCCGCTATATAAATGATGTCCTCCCACTAAATAAGTGTTCTGACTATATGGAACGCATCTATTCCATCGAACTTGAAATAAAGGATACAACAGATTCAGTTAATTCTGCCTCATATCTTGACTTACATTTAGAAATTGACAATGAGGGTCTTTTGAGAACAAAACCTCACGACAAATAAAATAATTTCAGCTTCCAGCAGCACCTGCATATTACAATATTACAGAGCTGCATTTCCTATCATAATTCACTTGATAGAGGGTTGCTGCTCACAAAGAGGCTTTTAAACCAAGAAAATTTTACGGGTGAGATAACAAGTTGGTTGACCGTTATGGAATTCTCTGTTCCAATGGTCGTAACCACAATCCCATCCTCTTTTCCCCGAATGTGATCTACCAAATAAGGCTTATCACCGGTTTTTACTAATATGACCAACACGACAGGTGCCACATGTGGTGCAGGATCTGCTTACACTTCCAGAGCACCTGAGATCACCCCCGGTTTTTGGTGGGGTTTGTGTTGCTCAGTATTTTGTTTTCTATGTTGTGTTTTGTATACTGTTGTTTGTCTTTTGGTCTATTTCTTTTTTTTTTGCCATGACATTGTCAGTTTATTTTTGACTTTTTTGGTTGATTTTTGTGCAATCTTTCTGTGAAGTTCCCAGGATGTGTTGAAAACAGTAAGAGGGTTGATAACATAAAATTAATACCATTGGGTTGAGGTATGAAGGGACAATATTTGCTGGTATGCTGGATAGGGGCAGAAATTTGGTCTTGCAAAAGTCCACCTTTAAACAATTCAAAAGTTGTTACAATAGTTCTTTAACAAGTAGCAAGGGCGACACTCTCACTACCAGGGACATTGAATTTACTGTCTTCCTTCCGACAAGATGCAGAACAGTAAAGTTATTTACACATCATGACAAACAATCCTACAAAGTATTAAAGTGTTCTGGCTAAGAGTGAAGCAGGAGTTCACAATGTGTCATAGTTTTACTAAAAATATGGTGAAAGATACAAAGAGATTATTCAAAACTCATATGTCTAGAAAAACTGACAACGCCATGGCAAAAGACAAAAGAGGGTGAAAAAAAAACACTACTTCCTCCAAAACAGATTACAATTTACAATAGCCAAAATCAAGTAACTCCCAAAAGAATCATAAAATTAAACTGACAGTTCATTATGGGTAAGATGGATAGAAAATTAAGACAACTACTATGTTCAACAAAGCGTGTGCAGTAGGGACAATAAAATGATAAGCACAGTACATTTATGGTCATTATCAAGGAATTACAAAAATAGAATAAACAGAATACAACAGAAACACTTTCACCGAAGATTTAAAATTAGTGCAACTGTAAGGTAAAATGAGCTATTCCATTATCAAATATATAACATAAATCATTTTTATTCTTGTACAAAAAACTGCATGCTACTGTTCTACAATTCTAATGTTTAAATGTCAATCATTTTTGGACCATTTGTAATTGAATTAAGTCTGCCTTTTTCAGACCTATAACTATCATGGGGTTTGTCATATGGTGCTCAATTGAAAGGAAAACATTTACATCATAGATATCTAAAAAATAAGATTCCAATGTTATAAGAAAATTATTTATTTTCAACCTATTGTTGCACCATCATATATTCAATTGTTGTTTAATTATTTAATACTTCCTTTGTGTGAATATGCCATTCTGTATACCTTTTGTTCATACATGTTGTGCTAGTCTATTTGTTACAATAAAGAAAATTCATTATAAAAAAAAAAATTATGTTGTAATTAACAGCAAACTAACAATATTTTAAAAGAAAAGTATGCTTAAGTTTTCATTCAAAATTTCTATGTTAGAGCATGACATCAAAAATCAGTCATTTAGGGTTAAATAAAAAATAAACACCTAGTTACATTTAAAATATACAAATAGCATGTAATGGATATTAAGTTGCACATTTTATTTTGCATGACATTCACACAGGAATGTATGAATGTTGCTAACTAAGAGAAACAATGGTAAAAGCCAAATAACAATTTCTCTGATGTTGGTCCCAGGGTTTAATTAAATTATATGAATCAATAACAAAAAATTTGGTGTAGGAAAATCTGAGGTAGTTTATAAAATCCCTAAAGCAGAGATAACATGTACATTAATACTACTGATTTATGGTGTTTGTATAAATATGGCATCTAATATCATATTGGGCGAAGGAATTATTTCTGATAAACACAAATATAAATATCAATATAATATAAAAAACATCTAACAAAAAATATATTCCGAATAAGATTACTGATTTTAAATGTGTATAAAAAAATGAATTATCTCATGGTGACAAGTTCTTCCGAGGATGTCGGATGGATTGCTACAGTTGCATCAAATTGAGCCTTTGTGGCACCCATCTTGACAGCTACAGAGAACCCCTGTAACATCTCATCAACACCTTGTCCTACCATGTGTAGTCCAATCACCTGAAAAATTTACATTAATTGACATGTATTGGCAAAAAGGGGACAAACATTAATTCTTGACACAAAGAACCTGCACACACTTTACATAATGAAAAGCAAAGTAACAACAACACTTTCACCTGAGTCTTTAGTTTTCTGTTAAGTGTTTTTAGACTGTTGTTGTTTTCTGTGTAGTGTTGTGTAGACTGTTGTTGTTTTCTGTGTAGTTAGTGTTGTGTAGACTGTTGTTGTTTTCTGTGTAGTGTTGTGTAGACTGTTGTTGTTTTCTGTGTAGTGTTGTGTAGACTGTTGTTGTTTTCTGTGTAGTGTTGTGTAGACTGTTGTTGTTTTCTGTGTAGTGTTGTGTAGACTGTTGTTGTTTTCTGTGTAGTGTTGTGTAGACTGTTGTTGTTTTCTGTGTAGTGTTGTGTAGACTGTTGTTGTTTTCTGTGTAGTGTTGTGTAGACTGTTGTTGTTTTCTGTGTAGTGTTGTGTAGACTGTTGTTGTTTTCCATGTAGTGTTTTGTAGACTTTTGTTTGTCTTTTCACCTTTTTTTGTTTTTGCCTTTGTACTATCAGTTGTTCTTAGACTAATTATTTTTATTGTCATCTCTAATGAGTGAACGGTAATGTGTTTAAAAATTATGATTAAAGTGACACTTTGGTGTCTGCTTTGTGTTTCTTATTCTAGGAATGTGGATTTCTTTGAGAATGTAAAGACAAACCATTATAGACTTGTTAGAAAACGACAGGATAAACACAATAATTTTATAGTTTGAAAACAAAGAAAACATTTAAACTTGCTATGAACTTAGCTCAGCAAGTCTTCCTGTTTCTTAAGCTTGTACAAGTAAATTTTATATCTTTAGACATTGCAAAGAAAAGGGAAATGACTATTCAAATAAAATATTAATATGGAGTATGTAGTATTGTATTTAATATGTTGTTTAATGAAAAAGAGTGGTGTCAATTTTGGTTTATTTCATCATGACATTTTTTTTATGTTTGAAGAGTTGGATGCTAGAATGAGTAGTAAAGATAAAAGATTAACTTACCTTTTCATCAGGTAACAAACAAATCAACTTCATATGACACTTTTCTTTCCTTGTTGTTACAGAAAAATACATAGGTGTAAACTCGGATTTGTAGGCTTTGATCTTTTCTTTGCCATACTTTTCTTCTGCTTCAGCTTTAAAATATGAAAGAAGTAAGTTTCTTATTTAGGTACATCTAAAATTTCAGAAGTTCAATAATTCTTTACAATTTACCAGTAATAAATACAATAATATTGTGGTTGTATTATTTTACTTTAATCATCAATGAATATTTAAACAGTACAAAAAATTAAATCAAAACTTCACCCAAATGTCTTGAATTACCTTGCCTTTCGAATGCAATGATTATCAAGGCCTCAACATAGTAGGGAATAATCCCTTCACAATTCTACTTTTATTTGATTGACTGCTTATTGTATAATGGTATAAGGTTATATAAGCCTCTGCAGTTGTAAATACATAGGAGTCCTTCCAAATGTCAAGTACTTGGGCCAAGCATGTTTGGTGAAAATTGGATATGTAGGGTACATATTCATGAGCAGCAATTCAATGACACATACAATCAAAAGACACCTTAAGGTCAACATTTGGTCATCATCAAAAGACAATAAGACTAAACAATATGTTAAACAATAAAACAACTACAAGTCTACAAAGATGTGAATACATTTAACAGAGAATATCAAAGATCTGCAATCAACACCAATTTCCCTAATGAAAAAAACAAACTTCAAGATATAAGTTAAGACAAGGAGAAACATTGTTCCTGATTGGGAACAGGCTAATACACATTTGGTGTGGAAAAAATTCCTTGAATATGCTATAGCCATTACTAACATTTAAGTTATGACAAAATCTCTTTGGAAAAGGCAATTCTGACCAATGTACCTAAACATTTATAAATCTGTCTCAAAGGTACTACAATCAAAAATAGATTGCATGATAATTTCCAAAAACTAGTTAAATTTCCCAATTTCTTAATTTTGTTTAGAATATTTCAAAAAAATACAGTTAAATTACACAAAATAAAACCATTATAGTCACACATTGTGATAAGTAAGACATAAAAAACATTCAAAAAGATATATTGTACATCCATTTTCAAACAGTTACTTTACACAAAATTGGGATTTATGTAAAGGATTCCAAAGGACTTCTGAACAAAACTTTTTTTTCTGACAATTCTTCCTTATGACAATACTTTTATTGATCTTGCAAATTAATTAAAACATCAAGCTATAGCTTATATTTTCATTTTTGAAAAGAATTCATTCAGACAAAAAGTTATAACAAATTTCGAACAAAGTTATATTTGTACATGATTCTAATTTTCTTAGTTTTCAGCTTCGTCATATTTCCAAGACCAAATATGTGTTTTCTAGGAAAATTCAAAATTGACAATTGGTGGTAAGTGATAAAAATAGCTCACACTGTTCCTTTGGATGAGGCAAGCTGATGAACAATACAATGAAACTTGTTTAGTTTACCTTGAGTAAGACCCAATGTAGCACTAGGTGGATATGAAAATATAACTGTAGGTATATCATTGTAGTCTAACTATAGTTTAGGTTACCTAGAGTAAGACCCAATGTGGCACTAGGTGGTTATGAAAATATAACTGTAGGTATATCATTGCAGTCTAACTATAGTTTAGTTTACCTAGAGTAAGACCCAACGTGGCACTAGGTGGATATGAAAATATAACTGTAGGTATATCATTGTAGTCTAACTATAGTTTAGTTTACCTTGAGTAAGACCCAATGTGGCACTAGGTGGATGTGAAAATATAACTGTAGGTATATTATTGTAGTCTAACTTCAGATCTGGTTTGTTGTCAAACAGTCGGTGAGCTAATTTTCTACCTGCTGCTATAGCAACTGAAAAATACAATAACATTCTTACAAGTAAGCAGCTATTTGATTGAAAATGAAGTGGGGTCACCTAAATTGGTATTTTTATGTTTTTTCGTAAATATTATACATTTTCTAGTATTCTTTTGAAATAAATTTTAACAGCATATGCTCCTTATGACCCCAGTAACCTCCACCCTTTTTTTATTAATGACATTTTTAAGTAAAGGAAGTGTATTATTTTAAAACTGTAATCAAGCTTCATCACAGTGCAACAGTATATTGCAGAGCACCTTATAAATCATATGTTGGAAAATGACAGAGAGTTCCTGTGGTAGTGAACAATCTCTGTAATATATACTGGTTTGGTAGTAAAAATAAATCAAAATGACTTTTCTATTCTGGTGTAGGAATACAAATGTATCATCAATAAACTGCTTCGCTGAGCGCAGCTGGATACGCCCGCAGAGGTCCAACCCTGAACAGTTGGGGCAAAAATGGACACAATATTCAAGTTTGATACAGGTCTGAATTTGGATTGTAATTAAATATTTGACATATTATAGGTTTCTGAATAAATGTAGTCAAAGAACTTGAAATTGGTTATATGAATTGAATTTATTAAAGATTTCTTGCTGTTGTGCAATACACTGTGCTGTTGCGCAATACTTAGTAAATCTGTTGTCTGACTATAAACAAATAAAGTCCAATTAATTCTCAATGTCATACTAGAAATTTATGAAAATCAAAAGGAGCTTACATCAATAGATATAAACAATTCACCAAAGTTTCATGAGAATTGCTGACAGCATTTTTGAGTTATTGTCCGAAAAATGGAAAATCCCCCCTATTTTAATGAATAAAACCCCATAACTCAGAAATGTTAAATGTAAAATTTATAAAATTCTAAAGGGAGCTTACATCAATAGATATAAACAATTCACCAAAGTTTCATAAAAACTGCTGAAAGCATTTTTGAGTTTTTGTCCGAAAAATGGAAAATCCCCCTTTTTTATGAATAAAACCCTGTAACTCGGAAACGTCAAATCTAAAATTTATAAAAATTGAAAGGGAGCTCATGTCAATAGATATCAACAATTCACAGCAATTTCTTGCAAGTTGGTGAAAGCATTCTTGAGTAATTGTCAGAAAACTGGAAAATCCCCCTTTTTTTAATGAATAAAACCCAATAAATCGGAAACTAAAAATCTGAAATTTATAAAAAACGAAAGGGAGCTCACGTCAGTAGATATCAACAATTCACCAAAGTTTCGTAAAAACTGCTGAAAGCATTTTTGAGTTTTTGTCCGAAAAATGGAAAATCCCCCTTTTTTATGAAAAAAACCCTGTAACTCGGAAATGTCAAATCTAAAATTTATAAAAATTGAAAGTGAGCTCATGTCAAAAGATATAAACAATTCACCATAATTTCTTGCAAGTTGGTGAAAGCATTCTTGAGTAATTGTCCGAAAACTAGAAAAATCCCCCTTTTTTTAATGAATAAAACCCAATAAATCGGAAACTAAAAATCTGAAATTTATAAAAAACGAAAGGGAGCTCACGTCAATAGATATAAACAATTCACCAAAGTTTCATAAAAACTGCTGAAAGCATTTTTGAGTTTTTGTCCGAAAAATGGAAAATCCCCCTTTTTTATGAATAAAACCCTGTAACTCGGAAATGTCAAATCTAAAATTTATAAAAATTGAAAGGGAGCTCATGTCAAAAGATATAAACAATTCACCGTAATTTCTTGCAAGTTGGTGAAAGCATTCTTGAGTAATTGTCCGAAAACTAGAAAAATCCCCCTTTTTTTAATGAATAAAACCCAATAAATCAGAAACTAAAAATCTGAAATTTATAAAAAACGAAAGGGAGCTCACGTCAATAGATATAAACAATTCAGCAAATTTTCATAAAAACTGCTGAAAGCATTTTTGAGTTTTTGTCCGAAAAATGGAAAATCCCCCTTTTTTATGAATAAAACCCTGTAACTCGGAAATGTCAAATCTAAAATTTATAAAAATTGAAAGGGAGCTCATGTCAAAAGATATAAACAATTCACCGTAATTTCTTGCAAGTTGGTGAAAGCATTCTTGAGTAATTGTCCGAAAACTAGAAAAATCCCCCTTTTTTTAATGAATAAAACCCAATAAATCGGATACTAAAAATCTGAAATTTATAAAAAACGAAAGGGAGCTCACGTCAATAGATATAAACAATTCACCAAAGTTTTATGCAAATTGGTTAAAGCGTTTTTGAGTTAATGTTGATGACAGACGTACAGACGGACGGACGAACAACGGTATACCATAATACGTCCTGTAAACGGGCGTATAAAAATGAAAAAAGTTTTGAATTGAGATATCTTCTCTCTATATCTCAATATCACTTAGAATGAAGTGATTACTATAAACAAACTAATTTTTGGAATAAAATTTTATTCAGCATTTAAACCTTTCTTGCCTATTTTACCATGATTTGATTTCAGGATTTCCTTACTTTGTGAATATATAAAAGCAGATCCTATTTGGAATATCTGTGATGATTCATAATTGCGATATTTTTCAAAATAAATAAATTGATCTTGAAAATTAGTTGTTTTACAGTGCGTCATTGCAAACAAAGTTTATGTTCAGGAAACATATTCTATCCAAAAAAAGGGATAGACAAAATCTGACTCACCACTGTCTTAAATTACATGTGCTACTTGTATTTAGATCCCTATTGGGATTTTGTTTAAATTCAATAGAAAAAAATCTACCGTAGGAAACTTTTTTCAGGCTTCCTTGATATCCTAGCATCTTATTATACATCTGTAATAGAAATGGCTGTTTAAAGTTTTACCTCTGTCAGAGTAGGAAATGAACCTCCCATGAAATTAATACTGAGTAAATCAAATCAGTAAATCTGAAGAGAAAAACTGTTATTATTAATAGGAAGACTTTACAGCTAATATCTACCTGCTTACCTGGTATAAGGAAAACTTTATAAGTAAAATGCTGTACCTATATTGGATGGACAGACACACCAACCTGACAACATAATGCCCCTCTATTATCGTAGGAGGGCCATAACACATATCCTACTTGCTTACCTGGTCTTAGGATTAATTAACAACTAACATCTACTAACTGCTTACCTGGTATTAGGAAAACTTTATAACTAACATACTGTACCTATATTGGATGGACAGACACACCAACCTGACAACATAATGCCCCTCTATTATCAAAGGAGGGCCATAAAACATATCCTACTTGCTTACCTGGTGTTGGGATGACTAAACAACTAACATCCTCCACTTTCTTACATATTGTTAAGAAAACCTTTACAACAAACAACTCTGACTTGTTTACCTAGTTTTTGGATAACTTCAACAAACAACTCCTACTTGTTTACCTAGTTTTTGGACAACTACAACAAACAACTCCTACTTGTTTACATAGTTTTTGGATAACTTCAACAAACAACTCCTACTTGTTTACCTAGTTTTTGGATGACTACAACAAACAACTTCTACTTGTTTACCCAGTTTTTGAATAACTTCAACAAACAACTCCTACTTGTTTACCTAGTTTTTAGATGACTACATCAAACAACTCCTACTTCTTTACCTAGTTTTTGGATAACTACAACAAACAACTCCTACTTGTTTACCTAGTTTTTGGATGACTACAACAAACAACTCCTACTTGTTTACCTAGTTTTTAGATAACTACAACAAACAAGTCCTACTTGTTTACCTAGTTTTTGGACAACTTCAACAAACAACTCCTACTTGTTTACCTAGTTTTTGGATGATTACAACAAACAACTCCTATTTGTTTACCTAGTTTTTGGACAACTTCAACAAACAACTCCTACTAGCTTACCTAGTTTTTTGGATAACTACAACATACAACTCCTACATGCTTACCTAGTTTTTGGATGATTACAGAAACAACTCCTATTTGTTTACCTAGTTTTTGGACAACTTCAACAAACAACTCCTACTTGTTTACCTAGTTTTTGGATGATTACAACAAACAACTCCTACTTGTTTACCTAGTTTTTGGACAACTTCAACAAACAACTCCTACTTGTTTACCTAGTTTTTAGATAACTACAACAAACAACTCCTACTTGTTTACCTAGTTTTTGGACAACTTCAACAAACAACTCCTACTTGTTTACCTAGTTTTTAGATAACTACAACAAACAACTCCTACTTGTTTACCTAGTTTTTGGACAACTTCAACAAACAACTCCTACTTGTTTACCTAGTTTTTAGATAACTACAACAAACAACTCCTACTTGCTTACCTAGTTTTTGGATAACTTCAACAAACAACTCCTACTTGTTTACCTAGGTTTTGGATGACTACAACAAACAACTCCTACTTGCTTACCTAGTTTTTGGATAACTACAACAAACAACTCCTACTTGCTTACCTAGTTTTTGGATAACTTCAACAAACAACTCCTACTTGTTTATCTAGTTTTTGGATGACTACAACAAACAACTCCTACTTGCTTACCTAGTTTTTGGATAACTACAACAAACAACTCCTACTTGTTTACCTAGTTTTTAGATAACTTCAACAAACAACTCCTACTTGTTTACCTAGTTTTTGGATAACTTCAACAAACAACTCCTACTTGTTTACCTAGTTTTTGGACAACTTCAACAAACAACTCCTACTTGCTTACCTAGTTTTTAGATGACTACAACAAACAACTCCTACTTGTTTACCTAGTTTTTGGACAACTTCAACAAACAACTCCTACTTGTTTACCTAGTTTTTAGATAACTACAACAAACAACTCCTACTTGCTTACCTAGTTTTTGGATAACTTCAACAAACAACTCCTACTTGTTTACCTAGTTTTTGGACAACTTCAACAAACAACTCCTACTTGTTTACCTAGGTTTTGGATGACTACAACAAACAACTCCTACTAGCTTACCTAGTTTTTTGGATAACTACAACATACAACTCCTACATGCTTACCTAGTTTTTGGATGATTACAACAAACAACTCCTATTTGTTTACCTAGTTTTTGGACAACTTCAACAAACAACTCCTACTTGTTTACCTAGTTTTTAGATAACTACAACAAACAACTCCTACTTGTTTACCTAGTTTTTGGACAACTTCAACAAACAACTCCTACTTGTTTACCTAGTTTTTAGATAACTACAACAAACAACTCCTACTTGCTTACCTAGTTTTTGGATAACTTCAACAAACAACTCCTACTTGTTTACCTAGGTTTTGGATGACTACAACAAACAACTCCTACTTGCTTACCTAGTTTTTGGATAACTACAACAAACAACTCCTACTTGCTTACCTAGTTTTTGGATAACTTCAACAAACAACTCCTACTTGTTTATCTAGTTTTTGGATGACTACAACAAACAACTCCTACTTGCTTACCTAGTTTTTGGATAACTACAACAAACAACTCCTACTTGTTTACCTAGTTTTTAGATAACTTCAACAAACAACTCCTACTTGTTTACCTAGTTTTTGGATAACTTCAACAAACAACTCCTACTTGTTTACCTAGTTTTTGGACAACTTCAACAAACAACTCCTACTTGCTTACCTAGTTTTTAGATGACTACAACAAACAACTCCTACTTGTTTACCTAGTTTTTGGACAACTTCAACAAACAACTCCTACTTGTTTACCTAGTTTTTAGATAACTACAACAAACAACTCCTACTTGCTTACCTAGTTTTTGGATAACTTCAACAAACAACTCCTACTTGTTTACCTAGTTTTTGAATAACTACAACAAACAACTCCTACTTGCTTACCTAGTTTTTGGATAACTTCAACATACAACTCCTACTTGTTTACCCAGTTTTTGGATAACTTCAACAAACAACTCCTACTTGTTTACCTAGTTTTTAGATGACTACAACAAACAACGCCTACTTGATTACCTAGTTTTTAGATAACTACAACAAACAACTCCTACTTGCTTACCTGGTTTTTGGTTACCACAATAATCATAACCTACATGCTTACCTGGTGTTCTTGAAGTTTACCACATATATCTAACAGCTTACCTGGTGTAAGTAAGGCTTTACCGCATACATCTCCAAGAGCATATATCTTACTCCCTGTAGTATTCTGAAACTCATCTACCACAATATGGCCTTTGTTATCCATTTTTATTCCCTAGAATGATTTCAAAATAAATGTGGATAGTGTCCACATGTGGACACAGATGATGCCTCCACTTGCATATCATATAGTTATAAAGGGACATAACTGAAGAACGGTAAAAGTGACGCTGATCTGAGTTTTGTGGTAATAAGCATTGTTTGTAAGTCTCATAACATTTGGTTGAGGCTAACTTAAGTAGAGAGCAGAAACTAAAAATTCAGCAATTTTTCTATTTGTAAACACGCATAACACTAGAATGGTTGTGTATAAGTTTTATAACATTTGGTTGAGACAAACTAAAGTTAGAGAACGGAAACAAAAAATTCAGCAATTTATATGTTTATAAATGGATATAACTCAAGAATGGTAAAAGTGTCGCCACCAAATTTTGTACTTAATCTGTATTATGTAGTAATAAGCATCATGTATAAGTTTCATAACATTTGGTAAGGCAAACTAAAATTAGAAAACGGAAACAAAAAATTTGTACTTGATCTTAGTTTTGTGGTAATGAATATTGTGTATAGGTTTCATAATTTTTGGTTGGGGCAAACTTAAGTTACAGAATGGAAACTAAAAATTTTGCAATCTTTCAATTTATAAAGGGGCATAACTCAATAATGGTTTAAGTGACACTACCAAAATTCAACTTGATCTGTGTTTTATCGGTGGAAGTCAAAATTAAACATTGCATTGTATAAAGCATTGATTGTAGTTGATTCAACTATAATCATGGACAAAGGAAGATAACTCCAATTTTAAAAATTACTTGATATTTCGAAGAAAATAAAATTTTGCAATTTTTCCATTTATAAAGGGGCATAACTCTAGAACAGTTAAAAATGCACCACCAAAATTCAAACTTGATCTCTGTTTTGAGGTAATTAGCATTGTGTATAAGTTTCATAACATTTGGTTGAGGCAAACTTAAGTTAGAGAACGGAAACTAATAATTTAGCAATTTTTCCATTTATAAAGGGCATAACTCTAGAACGGTTAAAGTGACGCCACCAAAATTCATACTTGATCTGTGTTTTGTGGTAATTAGCATTGTGTATAAGTTTCTTACATTTGGTTGAGGCAAACTTAAGTTAGAGAACGGAAACTAATAATTTTGCAATTTTTCCATTTATAAAGGGGCATAACTCTAGAATGGTTAAAGTGATGCCACCAAAATTCAATCTTGATCTGTGTTTTGTGGTAATAAGCATTGTGTATAAGTTTCATAAAATTTGGTTGAGGCAAACTTAAGTTAGAGAATGGAAACCAATTTTTGGACGTACGGACGTACCTACAGACATACAAGGGTAAAACTTAATGCCCCCACCGCTAACATTGCACCTTATTTCAGAACAGGAAAATAAAGAAACCATCTACTCACATCAAATGTTTCATAAAAATATTTATCATAGATGTATTTGAACTACATGTACTGTCCTGTTTTATTCAGTGTATAAAAGCAAAATCTTCTAAAAGAAAAGTGTGCTGTCAATACATGTACTGAATTAGTGAATAGATGTTGATTAATAAAAATTCTCTTCAAGTAAAAGAATATAGAAAAAAAATCATGTCCAAATTGGAGTAAATTTACAAAACCTATTTACTCATTCTTTCCCCATTACAATTCATAAACTTTAAGCACCACAATTGAAAAATTATAGAAAAGATTTTATTTTCATAAACAGTTCATAGGAAAGAAATATCAAAATTGGACTAAAAATGTAAAAGCTAAAATTCTGGAAGTTGACCAAAATTGAGTCCTTGTACCAAGGGTATAAAATCTAGTGACTTCTTCTGGATAAATATATAGAGATTTAATAAAAAAATCCATAGATTCGCTTAATAAAAATCTGGAAAATAATTGTAGTGGCATTTGTTTTTGGCAAGGAAAATTGTGTTAAGTTTTGAAGGATTAGTCAAACCAAGTAAATAATTATTCTAAAAAAACATTGTGTCTATGATGATGACGAGGACATCAATATTACATGACTGCATAAATTTGCATAAATTTGCAGTCCTTTTAATAAATCTCAAGGATATTTAAAATTAGTCATATATGCAATCCTTTCAAGTGTTAAAATATTCTTTTTTCTAAATGTATATTTCATGAGTTATTTTAGGCATACATTAATTACCATAAGTATTGATATTTTGGTAAACATTATTTAAATAATAACAAATAAAACATTTTAGAAGTGAAAAAGATATTCTATGACAACAAAACGACAAAATGAATGAATATAACAGAAACATGTCGTGTAAATCTGTAAAATATATCCCATAAAACAAAAATAATTGACATTAAAATGTCTCAGCTATTGCAACATTTGTATTATTTTACATAGCAATGAATTCGAAACTGAGGTAAAGGTAGAATGGAAATGTTAGGTGCACATATTTATGCACATTTGTTGAATTCACAAACAAATTTTTTCAACCTATCATGTATGATTTATGAGATTCAGACCTAATCATTAAACTTAAATTGGACCATTGGAGCGTGAGATTGAGGTCAAGGCAATATGACACATGTCAGTCTGAAATATACTCCTCACAAACAATTCACATACCAAATTTTGTTTACCTAACATGTATAGTTTCTGAAAAATAGATACCTAAACCTGAAAACTCAACCGACCACTGAGGCATAAAAATGAAGTCAATGCCATATGAGACATGTCAGACTGGCACTTACTTCTCAAATTTACAATTACTGATCATGAGGACTAAATAAAATCCTGAAAACTGAACCTGAGCATGAAAATGAGGTCAAGGTTATATAATATATGTAAGAAGAATGTGGTGCTTCTTTAAACTCACTTTTAAGAATAATTTAATTTGAACAGGATTTTCAACTAGACCTCTGACATCAGAAACTGGATATTTAAGTATTTATATTATAACTCTTATTTCTAACTTTTTTTAAACTATCTACCCTTTCTTCCCTTCTTTCTAATGTTCTGATGGTTGTTTATGCTGCTTGTGGGTGTTTTTTTAATCAATGAAGGTAAACTATACTGTCTTTCTGTACTTAATTTCACATCACTCAGTAAGACTACGCACTTTGCAAAAGATCACATAGATCTCTATTTGCTTTATACCATTAATTGTTTGATATTTCAGGATTTATATTTAACAGGTTTAAAATGTCACTAAAAGAGTAAAAACAAATTCTGAATTAACAGTTGAAGTTTAAATCTAAAATATAATTTATAATAGAATGTTTTTTAGGATTAATTTCTATCTAAACCATTGTCGTGACATCAGCCTATTCATTTACCGTGGATTCTTTTTCTAGAATCAGCTCTTCCTAAATCTGTCTATTAAATGGACTCACCAAATTATATTCAATTGTTTCCTTTGTGTGCTTAATTTCATTAAGTTTGAATTGGCTTATTTACTGATTTCTGTTCACTGATGGAATTAATTTAAAAACTTACCTTTAATTTTTGTGATTTTTATATGCCTTCACTGGGAATCGAACCCCTCCTTGAAATCTGTTATGTGTGACTGACATCAAGAAACCTCTCGGCTACCAATGGGTTGCTATATAAATGTCTATTTTATATATTTAGATGAACATATGATACACATCGGTACAACAGACACATAGGGCTTGTACCTTTATGAATACATAATAGACAATCGTATAGTATATGTTGGTAGCCGAGAGGTTTACAAGGTTAAGATCATTGAGTTAAGGTAGAGACTTGTCGGTTTAGGTTCGAATCCCCGTATTCCCTTTTATTTGTTGTCTCTATTCTTTAATTTTTTCGTTTTTCCTTTTTTAATGTTAATGTGGATATTTTTGTAATAAAAGTGGGTTTTCCCATTTATTTTTGAATTATTATTGGCTATTTCATATATTTGAAAAGAAAATGATTACATTCAATTTTTTTCATTTTTGTTTTATAAATACAGTATGCTTTCATCTGTTGTACTACATATCTTTACAAATGTTTCTTTGCAAATCCCTAATGATGTGCCTAGAAATTGGCTTCTTGCTAGAAATTTCGGTGCATACTTATCATATATACTTAGAAATAAGTTCGAATATGTCTTATTTTGTAAATTACGGATGATATTCAGATGCCTGATAATTTAAAGACAGACATGTAATGTTATATTTGTATTTCTCTAACCAATTAATTGTGAACTTAGATTTATTAATGCATTGTTCAACATGACAACGTGGTTATTTAAATTCACTTACAATACCTTCTAATTAAGAAAAGCCTTTAATTTTGAAAAGACATTAACACAATAGTTTAAGTTAGAGATACAATGGATAAGGGTTGATACATGAAAAACAAACCATTCCCCCTCCGGGCTCATGGTTTCTTTTTCAAGAATCAACGCTTATTCATTGTATCTATAATACAGAATTGTGAAACATTTATGGTACAAATATTCAACATGTTCTTTGGTCATTGCTTTTCCTTGCAAATGAAATTAAATAAAATTCATTCAATTATTAGATGAAGAAGCCTAATAAGAAGTTCTTCCAGTAATTTTATAATCTCTTTCAATAAAATCAAACAAATACTTACTAATTTTTCTAAGCCTATATTTTCTGATAGTGGAACTCTTCCAACTGCCCACAACAAACAGTCCACATCTGTCATTTTGTCTCCTGTATTTAGTTCAAGGTCAAGTAATCCATTTTCCCTTTTTGTCACAGATTTAACCTAAAAGAATGTATTTCATAAATATCATGTATATAAGAGTTTAAAACTAATTTCTAAATTGATCCCAAAGTGGGTCATCAGGTGCAAAAAGCGTCGTTTTTGATGATTTTTCGTCCTATTTCTTGACCCCAAAGACCGAGGGATGCTGATATAGGTATCCAGCTGTTGTCTGCATGTAGAGTGGAACCCAGTTAACACATTAACCCCAACAGTTCTTAGGTTGGAGTGAAACTGATCTGGGAACACCAGTCTAAAGAAGGTCATTTGGACAAAAAATACGGAATTTCACGATTTTTTCCAATTTTGGATTTCAACTAGACCTGAAACCGGAAGTAGTCGTTTCCTCTGCGTATTTCAATAATAATTATGATCAGTAGATATATGCCTACGGGTTTACACTATTTTTGAAAGTTTTAGGCCTCTGAACTTCCTGTGTAAGACACAGAAGGGAAGCCCACCCCTCCAGAAAAACCAGTTTTATCCGATTTCAATTTTCCAAGTTCGTATTTGAGCTCAAAATGCAACTTAAACATGAGAAACATGAAAATAGATAGCCTCAGGTTGAGGGAACATGCATCAATTTCGAAATAAGTATCATAAAGTTGACCTCTAAAAGTATGGAGAGCCATTGGAGCCAAATAATGGTGGTTTGGGTCATCCCGTCATATGACGGGCTCAGCATGGTAAGGGTTAACAGTAAAATCATAGATTATAATGTTATTTTTTTTTAATTTGGACAAACAGAGAAAACTGACAAAAACAAGCACTGTCTATTAAGTGTAAAATTCTAGTAAAATGCATAAATGATATACTGCATAGGCGGATCCAGGGGGGGGGGGCCTGGGGGGCCCGGACCTCCCCCTTTCGTGGGAAAAACTTGGTTGGTTATATAGGGAATCACTGGAGCGGGCCCCCCCCTTAGGTCAGTGAGCGCCCCCCCCCCCTTATGAAAAGTTCTGGATCTGCCACTGATACTAGTTCAAAGTTGGCCTTCGTTTTAAAGTCACTTTTAAAAGTTGAAAATTCTTTTATGAAGTATTTTGGATTCATTTCTATTCATGTGATATCAATTTTTGGGAATTCTTCATTATATGTTAACCACAAATTAACATATTAAGAGCAGTGTACATTATCTATACACTTGTATTCAGACTTTGCTAAAACCAGGAAAATCAAGTATCCATGAAAATATAGTTTTTCCTCAATCCATGAAATTGAATGAAGTAAAGCTACTAATATTGGAATATAGTACAACATGATATCATATCAACAGTTTAAATATGTTGTGCTTGATGTTAGTAACTTCTATCATTCTTTGATACAGTATAAAAAGTGTTTATTATTATTTGTTATTATCTATGTATACTGTTATATAAGGATTACATGCTTTTCCCGTACTTATTTTCATTGTGTGTTCTTTTGTGTATCTTTTGATAGTCTACGATAGATTAAAAAAGGGCTAAAGTTGAGATCCCAAAATACTAGTTTATATATATCCCTGATCAGTGTTTGTCTTATGTCATATATTAATGTTTTATATAGTTTGAAGAATTTGGAGATGATGACTTAATGTGGTAGCTTCTATTTATTTATTCATAAATTTTATTTACTGTCAAAGATTTTAACTTTCACATTCTTGGTAATGAATGAAAATTTATTTAAATTTTCACATGTTTGTGGTTGGAAAGTTAAACCTACCTGTGTCCTTCTCATAACCTTGACACCTCCTTGTTCCATATTTACAGTAACATTTGTACTAATTGTAGGATCAAATGTTCTCAGCACCTACAGTTGAGAAAAAAAACACATGCAAGATCATATTTTTCAAAGATTTAAAAAAAAACATCTGAATTCTAAAATTTTCTTTATTAGCTAACTTTTTCCATTTTTTTAATAATTATATTAGTGATTATGCTGAAGGAACTGCAGAAATATAAAGGTAGAAACTTTAATAACACTCTTAAGATGCCTACCACCAAGTTTTGGTTTAATCTGGCCAAATGATCTCAGCAGAAAAATGTTCATCTTTTGGCTAGTTGAATTAAAAACTTGAAATTGTAGGGGTTGACCTCAATTGGTTCTCTTACAGCTTGGATACCGTTAATACCATTAGATACTATTAATATTGTACATTAAATTTGTAAATAATCTGTAGATAGAATACTTATGAAAACTACATTTAAAATTTAAGAAATAGATCTGGAACTTTAAAACTAAGGACAGCATACAAATAAAGGGATGTGGCAGGTTGCCAATGAGACATCAATCCAACAGATACCAAATTTAAATGAAGTTGAAGTAAGCAACTATAGGTCAAAACTGTTTTTCTGTCCTATTTGAAATAAATCGATTTGGGCAGAAAAAATCCAAATCTGCATTATTTTGGTGAAAAGTATTTGCAATATAATTTTTGGTTGAAAATAAAACTAAATGCTTCATGATGCCTGAATCATGCACCAAGCAAATCCATTTCTTCATTGCTCAAGAGAAGATAACTTGTGGAAGACTTTTCACACATCATTACCCGAAAAATTGGTCAATACTAACAAGTTCACAAGAAGACAATGTAAATATGATTTGCCAAGGGTTTCAATAGAAACTATGTGCAATGATTTTCACCTGATCATAATTTAATGAGATTTGTTTGTAGAGGGTATTTCAATCATCTATCCCTTTAGGCTATGGTTTCAAAACATCTTGCTTTCTAGTTTCAGAGGAGAAGATTTTTGCCAATTAAAATGAAGTAATGTCTCTGGTGGCCACGTGAAAGTAAAATGTCTACCATGAAGTTAAGAAGGAAAATAAAGAACCTGAAAAACTTCTTAAAAAATGGTTTGTTTACTACAAGTAAATGAGAATTGTTTGAAGGATCTACAAATAAATCAGGAATTAATTTTCAATAACTCTCGGTATTAAATTATTATTTTCCAGTTATTTGCAAATCATTTTACAATAAATTTGTCTTCATTTAAAGGAAAAAATTCCATAAAAGAAATATACCTCATCAAACCTGATAAGTATTGATGTGTCTGATCCCAGTGAATTAAAAATCCCTGCTAATTCAACTGCAATATACCCTGCTCCAACAACTACCACCTTCCTGTCAAAGACAACTACACAGTCAAATATTATAATGACAAATTCTCTTACTTTTAGGTTATTTCCTTTTTTTATTTTTGCTCTGACCATGTATATAGCATAAGCATGTGGCAGGTAAAACTTTAAGAAATCAACCCTACACTTTTTTTTTATCTCAAAAATATTTTTAACCTTGAAAATAGACCAGAAAGAGGATATAAAAACTAAAGGTCTTTGTACTTCTGTTCCATTAAACTCACGTTTTTGTGTTCTGTTGTTTGTTTGTCTTGCTGGTGTTGTTTGTTTGTTTGTGTTGCTGTTGTTGTTTTGGTTTGTCTCAATCAATGAAGTTAACTAAAGTCAGGAACCTATTTAGTGGATGTCTTTATATGTCATATTTTAATTGTTTTTCGGTACTTGGTGAATTTAGTAAAATGAAGTACCATTGACGCATACTCTACATCTCCTTTCATAAATATTTATTCTTATATTCATCAAAAGTTCATTAAATGACAAATATCAATATTAACTGTGAATCATAAAGTCAAATAATGTCAATCATTCTAATTTTAAAATATTTAAAGTTCAAATTGACTTTAAAGAAAACAATTAATATTTCTGGTGATAATGTCATTGTTGACAATCCAAATAAACATGCTATCTTGCTAAACAGAATCAAAGTAAAACATGCATGGACATGATATAAAAAATTGTCCAATTCATTTTCAATTCATAATTTCAATAGTTTTATGATATTGAGCAAACAACAAACAGCCAATCAAAAGTTTGTATAGCTTTTTTACATCACCTTCATAGCAGACATGAAGAGTATCATTTACTTACTTTGGTAAAGTTTCTAACTCAAAGAAACCATCACTTGTAATGCCATGCTCTGCTCCTGAAGCAAGAAATGTATTAAAGAAAAATAAGTTTTAACACTCAATCATTTCATAAACAGATTATATTCCAGTATCAACAACCATTATCAAAGGAATGCTTGGTTTTCACTTTCCATGAGTGTTAAAATGAAAAAAACATTTCTTTGCAACATTTTTAAAATGATTACTAGTAATCTGTTATACATTCTTAAACATATTTCTTAGTACAAATCAAATCAAATCAAACAAATTTTTTTTTGGTGTAAATTCCAATACATGAATGACATCAGCTGACATTTACAAAAAAAACAAATATAAAAATAAACAAAAAACAAAAACAAACATACAGAGACATATTTTGTCAATGATAAGAGACAAATGTTTTAGTCCTACATTGTGGCGAAGTGTTATTCATACTATATTAACAAGTCAGTACAATAAGCTTTAACAATACAACAATTCTTAAGATTATTTTTGCTTAAAATGAATGTTTGTATCAAACATATCATTAACTCCAGCAACACATAGGAAAAATATCAGTGTCATTATTTTTCATAATTTTTTTTACTGAAACTTAACTTTTCTTGTTCAGACATATTAATAAAAGATGGAACTACATCACTTAAATTACAAAAGAGTATATTTCTGTTAAATGCTAAAGCTTTACATTTAGTGAGTAAATGGAATTCATCTTCAATTCCATCCCTGCAAAGTGAACACATTCCTATTCTCTGCTGTAAAGACATTCTGGTATATTTGCAAACTTCTATGTGTATTTTGCTATTGGAAGGGGGTCTGGAAGGCACTTTATAAAATTTGAAGGATGGTGGTTATTTAAGACAGATAGCCTAACAGTTTTGACTGAAAATGCAGTCAAAGTAATTGCAAAATCAATATGTATAACATTTCAAATTACATGTAACTATAAGTTTATAGTCAATGTCTAAATAGACATGAATCTACAGATTACCATATATGTTCCTTTACTTTAATCAATTGCCACAGACAGAAAATAAAACAAATTCTAGTATTTCAAGTGCTTTGAACTCTCCCCTGTGTAATAATTTAAATTTTCAATGAGAAAAAAATCTGCATTTATTGATATTTTGTATTGTTGTATGTAAAAGAGTCTTTGATGAACATTTGATGATGGAAACTGAAAATAAGCAAATGTCAAATTTTTCTGAACAAAGTTTTCGAATGCATGAAAAGTAAAAAAAGAATATAAATAAAAGAAAATACATTTCTTTTGAATGTTTTTTTATTCAGTATGTTAGCATTTGATCATTACAAAAATATATTATTAAAGGTTGAAACAAACTGTATATGACCTTTAAGGTGATACATTTGTATTCACTATAGCATGCTGGAATAGTTACATTTAGTCAATACTTCAACTTAAACTATTAGTTATTTCAAATATTTGTTAGAATTAACAGAATCTCTATAAATGTTACCAAAAATACAGGGAAAATTGGATAGCAAGTTTAATACCTGCAATTTTCAATATGACCAATATTATTCATCAGAAGCTATCAGTTACCTGGGATATTTGTTGGGACGATAGGTTTTCCACCCGTAGCTATCAGTATGTGCTCTGCTGAGAATTTCTGCTCTCCAACCTGTACACATCTATCCTCGGTCAATATAGCATGACCTTCTATTTTTTCAACTTTAGACTAAAAATAAAATACATACAACTCTGAATTTTCCTATAAGGAAAGATGACTGATAATATACATGATATACCTGAGGATCAATGAACATTTAAATACTTTTTTATAGATTGAATTTTATTATTTACTTAAGAAACTAGATCTAATCTATACACTATAGGACACTGGGAGTATATTATAATTTCAAATTCTGAATATATGTTGATGTTGCTCAATCACATTTTTCTATGCACTGTTTGTGGATTCATAACTGTTTTGCCATGGTGTTGTCTGTCTTTAACTTTTGAGTTTTCATTTCCTCTATGCATCTTCTCTCCTCTTCTATAAAAGGAGGTGGTTCAATAAAGCACCAATAGGAACCTATATCTGTATAAAATTTCATGCTAGGATTCAACAGCCATTTTAACAATGTATCATAGTAACCATGGTAACAGCTATGACTAGATAAGAAATCATAGGTCTTTTTATTTCAATTTTAGTGTCCTTCTAAGACGTCAAAATTAACATAAATTTCAGTGTTCCACTCAATTAAAATAAAATAGATCAATTTCCATTGGCTTTTTGTACCAGAACACACAGTTAATGTGTCAATATACATTTTTATTTAAACATTATGTTTGTTATAACAAATAACCAAATCTGAATAAAATACAAATCCTGTGTCCACGCTTTCAAGGATCTGAAAACAACATTCAATTTTACTTTCTGTTTTGGTAATTTTGAATCAACCAATGAAACAATTGACCAAAAGTTTTTGAAGGCGTGTATATACGACAAAATCAGAGGATCCTGAAAGATCTTAAAAACAGAAAGTAGAATGGAGCATTGTCATGGTGACCAAAGCTTGAACACAGGAGCTGTATTTCAGTCAGATTAAACAAATAAGCTATCTGACTGAATATTTATCAAACCCTGCCCTCTACCTTTTCTTGGCATAAATTGGTTGAAATAAAAAATAATTTCGGTCAACTTTCACAAAAATTTCTGTTCTTGGCCTGTTTGGGATGTAAATGTTATAGCTGTATAGAAAAAGATTGATAAAATTCATTCTGTATCAATTTCTCACATGTTTATACATCAATTTGAAACAATTTTAATCTTGAAAAAATATACTGAATATTGGGGGCCCTTAAGGTTTTCCATAACCATCTCCTTATTTTATGTTCTATAAACATGATAAATGGATATAATACAAATACCTTGTCATACATTATAAAAATATATACCTTTTCAAGATTAGTTTCATAAATCCCATTCAGTCTCTTGATGTAGGCATCTCTTGTTGCTTTTATTTTACTGCAAGTATACATATGTAACTTCATAGTATTAAAATGAAAAAAAAATAAAAGTGATATCTACCTGGTAATAAAAAAATAAGATGACTCTGCAAAAGACAAAAATATACATACCAACATGTATTTGGTTTGAAATGTATACATATATTATATTGTTGGGGGGTCAAACCACTTTCTGTTCTTTGTATAGACTAAATAGACAGGAGATTATTTAATTCTTGCTTTTCTCTCTCTGAAAACTTGTTAATGAGCTAATACATTACAATATCTATTTTTTTCTCATAACACATGTGATGTACAACCAATAAATTATTGAAGGCATGATTGTGGGGTACACACAAAATGTTCATCAGATGTCATTCTATCCTGTCAGCACAAAAATATTGATGTAAAGATGTTGAGGTCTGTCAAATAATTTGCAGAGGTAATACTGAAGCTTGTTTTCAGCTTTACCAAGAAAAAATATAAAAATAAGGAGATGTGGTATGATTGCCAATGAGACAACTATCCATCAGAGTTCAAATGACGGAGATAAAAACAAGTATAGGTCGCTGTAATGAGAAAAACCCATATTGTATAGTCAGCTATAAAAGGCCCCAACATGAAAAATGTGAAACAATTCAAACAAGAAAGTTGAAAACCATGAAAACCAAACTTATCAGCCTAATAAAAATAATAAAATAGACTACACATGGAATAACATTGATATTGTAAAGTTATGATCAATTCCTATGTAAACTGTAGTGACTTTTATTTAGACAAACTTTCAGGACAAATCGATAGACATAAGAAAACTATAGTAGAGTAAATTTATAACAATTTTAAAAGTAACATTTTAAACAATTTTCAGTATTTCGATTATTTCATGTTGAAGATAAAAGAATTTGCATGCTTAGTTTTATTAGTAAACAACAGATGTTGATTTTAGTGTCTTTAGTAGAAGTAGTTCAGAAAAGTAGTTTATTTCACATGTTATTGACCACTACTTGAGACATTAAAGATTCTTAGAAAAATATGTTCTGTCTAATTCAGTATTTCTATTTGGTAATTAAAAGGTCAAAGGTTTGATACTTAAGATAAATTTAGAATATAAAGTAATAGGCTAAAGGGTCAGTTAAATTAATTATAGAGTTATGTCTTAGAGTTTTAAGTCACTTTGAGAATTGTATTTGTCATAGAAACATCTATTTCTGGAATTATATGTATTATCATGATTATTGTAAACCTTTATCATATGAACTATTATGGATGCCTGTTTAACGTTTAATAAACAATTAGTTATATAATGGAGTACCTTTTATATGTGAGCTAGTGAACCAAGACAGTACCCCCGTTTCTCAAACACTTCTTATAGGAGTAAACCCCGCTCCTACAAAACCAATGTGTATGAGGGAAACACAATTTTGTTACTTACGCCCAATTAAATCCTTTATATTCCACATCAAATCCGTAATCTTTATGGTCATGAATAAACTCTGCATGCATTGCTGTATTAAACATAACTTTCTTTGGTACACATCCTACATTTACCTGGATAAAAATAAACATGAAATACATGTAGAAATACAAGAAATCTACAATAGGTATCATGTTTTTGTCAACAACAAACACCAAGCACATGCAAAGGAACAGTGTTCAAGGAACTGTAGAGTCAGTAGTATTTATATAAACATCTTGACAGTCCTTATTTCTGATGTCAAATGAAAACCATGGTACATGTAGTATGCAAGTATGACAATACCCTGTCACATGTTTGTGTGCTTGTCCAAATTTGGGAAACTCATCAGCACGATCAGTAATAGTCTTTTTGTTATACTGTAAAAGCAGAAATTTTCGTGGAGGATTTAATTTCGTTTATTTCGTGGAAAGAATATATCCACGAAATTAAAACAACCACGAAAATTTAACCTACATATAATATCACTTCCATTTAATGGAAACCACGAAATTAAATCCCCATGAAATTTTATATAGAGACAAAACCACGAAATTTTAACCCCACGAAAATTAATGTTTCTACAGTATATCATAATGGTTTGGGTTTTTTTTTGTTATTTGGAGAATTTGGTTTTGATGGTAGATTTTGATGCATGTAGTCTCTTAGCTGAATTTATTCACATTTTTTTTTTTGCTTTTGACAATTCAAAGCTTGATTGACATTTTGGAAAGACACCTGTCTTTTGTTGCTGAAAAAATATTTAACTCTTGTGTGGAAATGTGAATACATGGTTGAAGCTACATGTACAAATGTAAATGTTATCTATAATGGTTTGTTCAGGCCATGTTAACTAAATTGAACTACATATATGAAAGGTGTGGTGTCATATTCATGTTTTGACCATGTTGACAAATGGTTGTATGCATGCTTTGTAGATTTTCCTGAATTTCTTGACAAAGGTATTCATAAATGATGATGCAGGATATACTAACTACAAACTTACAATTTTATTTGTCATTGGACTCATTTCTATCCCCCCGTCACACTTCCCCCACATCCAGAGTCATTAATATACTATAATGATATCTTCAACACTTCCCTGGCTAGGTAATTCTTCTAACCGTGGATTTTTATTGTTGGGCGCTAAATGTAACAGGAGAGCATGAAGCTTCTCACAAAATCACTTTTTCTCCTCTGGGACTCAAACCTGGGACCTCTGTGTTACAAGGCAGCGCATTAACTGATTGTGCTAAAGAAGTGTCACACTTGCATAAAAAGTCTTTAAAAAGGCAATGCCATTTTCCAACAAAAAACATTATTATCCAAAGCTATGCGATATACATGTATAGTGAGATAACGAATGCTAGTCAATTCGTTCCAAGTCTGATTCGTTCCGAGCCAATTCATCCCAGATTTGGTCAATTCATATTAAGCTAATGGTCAATTCGTTCCAACTGATTTATATAAATAAGAGGATGTGGTATGATTGCCAATGAAACAACTCTCCACAAGAGACTTAATGACTAAATGACATAGAAATTAACAACAATAGGTCACCGTACGGCCTTCAACATGAACAAAACCCACACCGCATAGTCAGCTATAAAAGGCCCTGACATGACAAATGTAAAAGAATTCAAACGAGAAAACTAACGTCCTGATTTATGTACTAAATAATGAATGAAAAACAAATAGAATATACAGCAACAAAAGACAACCACTGAATTACAGGCTCCTGACTTCTTTATTTGAAGTGACTTTTTTTGGTTTCGTACAAGGAAACTGAGTAAAATTTTGTATTGTATTTACAATGTTCAATATTTACATGGACAATCCCCAATCCAACACCAGGGAGTGTTAGGACACCCGGCAGAGTCTGTTATTATGGTGGAGGAAGCCGAAGTACTCGGAGAGAACCACCCTTCTGATGTACTGATATTTTTAGCACCCCGAGTGAGAATCCAACTCGGGACCTTCAGTACTGTAGCCATCGGTCTTAACCACTAGACCACGAACTCACATCGCATTTATGACCCAAGCTTCGACCCAAGCTGAGTACAGGCTCATCAGAGTACGGGTTTATTCTTTTGATGAATGCATAAAAAACTTGTATGCACATAGTCTTAAAATACAATAAGCAATTATAATAAAATAATGATTGCTTTAAAAATAAAATTAGTATTTTATTTATATTAAATTGTCATGAAATAAATACTATAACTGTCTATATATCATTCCCAATATAAACCATAGAAATAAATTTTAATTAAATATTTATATACATTTTATATAAATTTTATATACATACATACATGACATACAACATGTGCAACATTATAAATAAAAGTATTTAGGTTGTTTTAATAGATTATATGATAAAACACTGCAGGGCTGCCAAGTCTCACGCATTTAGCGTGAGACTCACGCATTTTCATGCTTATTTGGCGGCATTTTCCTTTGATCTATTGTTTTTTCTCTTTGATCTTTACGATTTTTGCCAAATCTCATGCATTTGCATTATTAAAAGATGGCAGAACTGACACTGTTCTTTAAAAAGTTGGAATGAATTGACCAAGCAACTTGGGACGAATTGGTTGGTAAGAATCGGAGTTAGAAGGAATCATCCAGATACCCAGATAACGCAAGATTCTTATCTTTCCTACTATAAAAATATTTGTCTAAAGTAAGCAGGAAAATGTACATGTTAATTTACTGCTTCTTTACAGTCATCTGAATTTCCAACAAAACATATAAAATTGGGGAAATATGTTATTTTTTCCACAATTTTCAGTGTGTATTGGTAGAAATTCTGGCCACTGTTTCGTGTAAACTTACACATGTGCCACCCCATCGTGCCTCTTCAACAATGGCAGCTTTAACACCGAATTCAGCAGCGCGTCTGGCACAAGCTAAGCCACCAGAACCACCTCCAATCACAATAAAATCAAATGCTTTCGCGATAGGCGGCATTTGGAAAAGTTTCAATGAAAATCTCATTTAACAATTAAAGTTCCAGATATTAACCCGGAAGTACTTCAAGGATCAAGAATCTCAAGAAAAATATTTTTTACAACTTAAGCTATTAACAACGTACTGACTTATGAACTAGGTTATATCTTTGACTAATAAGGGACTTGTACATCTAGTAGTTATCAGCAATAATTTGACGTTTCTGTGACCTGGAGCTAATAGAGACGAAATTGTTTATCTTTTTTATTATATATAAGACTAAGTTAATAAGTCAAAAATGAGACTACTCTGAGACTTCTATAACATGTGTCACAGTATAGTAGTCTCAGGTCAAAATAATATAGTCTGTGTATAAAGATATACAAATTCCTCAATAGTTATTTTATGGACTTTTTATACTAATATTATAGATCCTTGGTTATTTGCTTGTAACTTTCGATATACACATTACATAAATACGCGCGAGGACGGTCCCTGTGTTGAGCCCCCATAGTCCCTCCCCATCATTATCATCAGAGACATATATTCACATGTCGGTCGTTATCACAAATCCCCGATGTTCCTATATATAAATATCAGTTATGTTTTACCATATGTATACCAATATATGTCATATTTTTTTCTCTGAAAATACATGGTTACTATCACATTGCAACTCTACTATACCGTATACAGTGGAGTGTAAATAAAGTGCACAAAAATTAAAATATTTGAACAATTTGTTTAGAAAAGAAAAAAAATCTTTAACTTTGGACGCTAGAATAACAACTAAATAATGAAATGATGGAACTGAAAATTACCATATGATACCCTACGTTCAATCAGAGACATAAATATAATACTATTATACTGTTTTATATGTCTCTGGTTCAATCATCTCCAATGTCATATAACTTTAAAGTTTTATCAGTATCTAAAATTTTCATAACGATAAAAAGTGCCAGAGTTAATGATGAAAGGCAGCATCTTTTACCAATATAGTTTTAACACTGGAATAATGGGACTAAGGAAACGTTAGAAAATCACTATAGATTGAACCTGCAAACTGCCTGACCGTTTAATCACGAGTTCCAGTTGCAAAATATTAATGTAAAATTCAAAAGTTGTTAACTTATATCAGTAGAAGTGTTTGTATAAATTATACTATAGCTGAGCTAGATGTAGAGAGACTATAATAGCGAGACAACAATTCGCTTTTAAGGCGAGAAAACTGAAGCCAAAATCTTTCATTTTAACTTCGTGAAAACTATCCAGAATCTGTAATTCTTCTAAGTAAAACTGATGGCATATCTCTGGGACCAGTATATAAGTATATAAGTATATGTATTACCAGAAGTCCTTACTATTAGTCCCAGCTTATCTGTAAAACTGTTTTCTAAGAAAACTGATGGCATATCTCTGGGACCAGTGTATATTTTATATATGTATTAATCCTAGCCTATCTATAGAACTGTTTTATTTTTAGTGGTTCATGTCGTGTTTGCACAAACATTATTAAGGCAAATATTTATGGAAGAAAACGAATCTGGATACTTTGAAATCTATTTTTTCAACATATCAATGTTCAGTCAATACCTCACAAGCCCGGGTTTAAAACTTGGGAATGAAAACAAACGGAATCGCATGAACTCCAAAAGTAGTGAGACGGTCCAGAGACATCAACAGGGGTAACTGAGCATATTTTGCTAAGCAGGCATTATCCATTACTACATTTTCTAAAATTATAAATATTAAGAATAAAACCTCAATTCAAGAAATACGGGGGGAAAACGGTTAGGTATAATTTCAGAATGTTATAATGATAGTGATGTGAGAAACTGAAGAAATGTAAAGGGGGAACCATAATGGCGACCGTTAAATTTCTAAATGGTTTCTTCAGAAGCTATTTCTAAGAACATTATATTTTATTGTTCAAATATCAAACGTACATTTAAACAAAGGGAATGATTGGACAAAAGGCAAAACATATACAACTCCTTTCCCATTTGAATTGAATAATTTACTAGTATATAAAATATGTATGATAATTCATTATTGCAGTGTGCCAGGGGAGGCAAACACTCTTTTTTATTGTGTATTCATATATAACAAATAATCATCATCACTATCTATTTGTATCTCAGTGGAAGTGAAATGAAAAAAATCGAGATGACTCCGGTCTTAAACAAGTTATGTGTGTATAGTTTGTTACACATGAACTATTCGGCTATTAAGACCCATTGACAATATCAATTGAATATTAATCCATCAACACCAACAAATACGTGTTATCGATCATAACGTAGAACATTTTGATGATTTAACATTCAGTACATTTCTTATTTGAATCAGTGTGATTCGTAACAACATTGGACTTTATAGGTCCTGGAGCAATACACTGGTATGTATCCACCATTCTGTCAGAGGAAATACAGTTTAATGAGAATGAGGACAAGTTTGCTGGGTATATAGAAAAGTCGGAATGTTATGATATAGTTGTTAACATCTTAATGCCTATGTATGCATAACTGAAGGCATTGCAGAATAACTTCTGGTTTTTTTTTACAAATATTCCGATATTGTACAACTTTTGAGAATTTTTTGAAGGATAAGGTTCTCATCTTTTTATAACCTACAATTGTTCTATGTCTGAGTTGTTCGAACTTGCGCCTGGGTTATCTCGGTTTCTTATTGTCTTGGTCTTCGTAAAAAATCTGCTGGGATCACAAGAGCTTTGGTACAGGATTTCTATTTGTTTTCATTGTTTGCACTTAGTATTGATTTTTTTACAAGTTATGTAGATCAAAATGAAGGGCGGAAACTAGCTTTGACTACCATAGGATATATAGCAACAGGCCACCTATTTACCGTGGCCTCTCAAATTTTTGTTACAAGAGTTTTTTTAACGTTCATAGAGCGTCGCACTCTCCCTACACGAGTCATCTGATTTAACGTCCCCATCCTGGGCATCCACACGGCTACCCCATTCTAGCAAGGGTTTTACTGCGGGAAGAGAGAAGTCAAGGGGTGACTTTATTTCTAATCCCAAGTCAACTCTTAGGGTAAAGGATTATTTTGAATGCTCAAGTCATCTGATTGATACTTTAACGTTTTTATACAGCTAATCTTTATTATTTGGTAAGTCACTCACAAAGTTGCTACTGGAATTGAGCTTTTTTTAGTATTATTTACCAAAAGTTATGATGTTAAAATTCATCTGTTTTGGGATTTTTTTCTCGGAATTTGCTAAATATTTTTTGATGTATCTGTTGAGAATGTAAAGTTTGCTTCAATTGTTTTTATGTATATATGTAGGACTCTGAGTCGCGATGGTACTCTGAACCGCGATGGTCACGCTGGTGTGCGTTGGTTAACACGCTGAAGTGCGATGGTGACATTGTGACGCCAACTTGTTGATAGCTACGCTGAAGTGCGTTGGTGGTTACGTTGAAGTGCGATGGTCTAACTGTGACGTAGACGTTGATTGTTATGATGAAGTGCGATGGTGTATACTATAGCTAAAATGCAATGATCTGAAGTAAGAACCTCATTTAATGTGGTGGTGAAGTGGTTAGCGTACTAGCCTCGCATTTGGAAGGTCGATTTTGATTTCTGGTCAGGTGAAACCAAAGACTTTAAAATTAAATTTTCTAATTCTCCGCCTAGAATGCAGCAGTATGAGTGTGAGAATAGACTAGATGGCTCAGATTAAGTATAATGGAGTCGAGTGGGTGCACATATAGATTCTACCACTGCATCGAGTGTGATACGATATTTATCCACTCGAGACAGTTAAATTTTCAAATTTAAAACGCGAGGCTCGCCGAGCGTTTTAAATATTTAAAATTTAACTGTCGAGAGTGGATAAATATCGTATTACACGAGATTTGGTGGTGGAATCTGTTTCTCTAATGATTTTCAAACAATACGCAGGCAAATTTATTCCTTCTTTTCGAATGATCTACAAAAAGATGTGTTCTTTCTATGTGACGTCATCAGGCATGGTCGTTTTTTTTTCATGCCGTCACAATAGGAAATTCAGAGGAAAGCAAGAAAATTCGACGTCATAATCGGATTTTAACCAATGACGAACTGAGATCAAACGAACCACACGTTGATTAAATTTTTTTTATACAATGGGTGCAGAAAGGGATAAATTGACGAAGAATTAGAGAAATGTCTTTATATGGAGTGTTCAAGTGCGGTAAAAAAAATTAAGCGTGTCGGTCTATAGTACTAAGCAGAATCCATCTCATTTTATCAAATATAACTTGTTATCGTCATGTCATAGCTGATAAATTACTCACAACAATCATTCATTCGTTTATCTTATGTCGTATACCAGTTTTCAAGAGAGAGAAAACCGCCAAGTCCATATGCTTAGCTGATGTCGAGACGTGTGACGTGTTCCTCCAAAAACTTTTAAAAACTTTAAAATTAGGTGCTTCTACGCTGGGCAGGAGAAATTGGGAAATATACGTAGGGACCAGTCGGGTTTATTTCGGTCTCACTTGTGGTAGAAGACAAAAACTGTAACCACAATAAAATTAGGCTAGAGTGCCGGTTTTCTTACAAAGCAGGATTTATCTCAGGAATAAAACAAAATTATATCAACTTGATATATCAGAAACATTGCTATAATTAATTTTATCATTTAATTGTCATCATAAAATCATGTGAAGCATACTTGAAGAGAAGTCAAAATTTATATTTAGAGCAATACATTTTATTTGCCGTACAAAAAGTTTGCGGCAAACTTCCGAACACGTCTGGTTGGCCCATCTGCAAACCAAGTTCATCGTTCAACCGCTTTGCTCCCCCACGATGTGATGCCTGACTTAATTTTACATATTTTTGTAACCTCCACCTGCACTGCTCAAAACTGTTCACGGGTCTCGAATCGTTCGTTACTTTCTTTTTCTTTCCCTTCCCTTTCCTTTGTTAGCATGAAACCCTCATTTACAAAATCTTATCCTCCTGCCTGCGAATTCCTGACGTGTTTAAAGTGACGTTAATTGTATTTAAAAACGTCACAATATTCAAGCGTCATGCCAAACCATCGCACTTCAGTGATGG